TGAATTGGAGTCGACAGCTTTGAATTGGAGTCGATAGCTTAAAATTGGAGTCGACAGCTTTGAATTGGAGTCGACAGCTTTGAATTGGAGTCGATGGCTTTGAATTGGAGTCGACGGCTTTGAATTGGAGTCGACAGCTTTGAATTGGAGACAATGATTTATTTTTATTTTTAACTGGAGTCGATAGCTTTGAATTGGAGGCAATGATTTATTTTTAATTTGTAGTATTTGAGTTTAATTGGTTAAAAGATTATTTTTTTTAATTATTTAAAAAATTTTCTCATTCTTTATAATTCTCATGTTAAACAAAAAAAAGAGTCGAGAGCTCTTAAAGTAATTTTAATGAGTTTGATGATTTATTATTGATTTTAAGAGATTAGATTCAAATAATTGAGACTTTTTTTCTTTTAGTGCAACAAGTAACTGAGATTTTTACTTTCACTATTACACCGTTTGAAAAAATTCTCTCTCTCTCTCTCTCTCTTTTTTTTTTTCAATATAAACAATCAAAAGAGAGATTCATCTTTCATTTTATTCATCTTTCATTTTATTACGAAATCTCATTTTCATAAATTTTATGGTAGAAAATATTTTTTTTTGTTATTACTAAAAAAACTGAAAAAATAAGCATTAAAATAATTAACTTGTAAATGAGACTATAAACATCTTATTTTCTTGTCTCCACAAGCTATTTATATAATTTAAAAATACGATAATATCCTATCTATTTACCTTACGACTTTCTACAAGCAAACAATTTTTTTTTTTTACAAACTAATTACACTTTATACAAGTTTATCTTTTTTTATACTAATTTATGTTCCTATTGCTTTTTTCTGTATGACTATATCCAAGGTTTTTTCTTTTATTGAATTCATGTATGTTTCCTTTGTGGATATGTACTTTCTTTCTTTTTTCAATTTTTTTACTCTAATCCAATTCAATTTCATTTAACTTCAATATTACCATAATATTCAATTTTATTTGTAATCTTAACAACTCTAAATCCTAAAAAGAAATTATACAATTTTTTGTGATAATAAAAAATCAATAAGTTTCATTACTTAAATATTATTCCTTCTATACTAGAATAATATATATTTTTTGTTTTATCTTCAAATGAAAGATTTGAAAACAATTTTTATCTTTACTTATTTTATAGTTAAAAAATAATTAAGAATAAATATCTATTTCCATTAAAAAATAAATAATTAAAGTTAACATATAATTATATGGTTAAAGTAGAAAAAAACTATTTATCTTTCTCAAAATAAAAAAAGGAATATTATTCTAAGATAAATTCTAAATAAAAAATATCAATTATTCTGAGATAAAAAGAGTATATTAATTTTTTTGTTAGAATATATCTACTAACAAGTATAAAAAAAATTTTTAAATAAAATAAAATAAACTTACAAAACTTTAAAGTTAAAACTCAATATGACAATATATGATTCATATAAAAAAAATAGTGTTATTTTTAGTCTCTACCAAGAAGTTAGTGATCCTTTTGGTGTTTCTTAATTTGTTTTCAAGTTTTCAATGAGGAGAGCAGTATTACAGTGACTTGCATCGAGTCGTCGTCAGAGTCTCTTTTTTTTATTATTTTTTTTAAATTAATTAGTTGAAAAAGATTGACATCGAAACAATAGAGTTGAATACTAAAAAAATGGTATAAAAGACAGAAGAATTGGTTTTTTTTATATAAAATTCAATTGTAGGCCTTGAAATTGGTGAATTTTAAATAATAATAAATAGTTAAATTGTTAAAATGAATAATTGATTATATAGATTATATTTAAACTATTAAAATAATCTATTATTATTAGATTTTTTTTATTTTATGTATTTTAACAATTAAAAATATAATATTTATAATTTTAATTATAATAATTAATAAATTAATTATATATTTTTTTCCCGAATCCAAAGGAGCCCACTGTCCCCACCTGGTCTCCATGTGGTTCCGCCGCCGAATTTGAATGGACTTCGTTTATGACGACGATAGCTAGAAATACCGTCATCACAGTCATCATAAACAGAAGTTTATGACTTTTTGTATGTATCTGAACAAAAATGACCTCCTCGAAATCACGCTTCTAGACTCTTTCATCTAGTTAATACTGCCTGGTTGTTGCATAAAGGGTTTGTTCAGAACACGTCAGTTGATCCGTATAACTTTACTCTACCAACGATGTCATACTTTAAGTATTGATACTGCTACTACTGTATTTATAAACACTTCGTAATAATTCTTAACGAAGATAATTTTTTAATTTTAAAGACTATTTTTATTTGATTTTACATAAAAATAAATTAAGTATTTACTTTAAAATCAATCACAGAGTCTTTTGTATGTCATTCGTACAGCTAATTTCTTTTCTTTTTTTTTTTTAATATTGTACAGCTAATTTCAAACTAAAGAGGCTGATTTACTTCGTAAAATCGCATCTTGTTTAAGATTCATATAGGGAAGTTATGATGGGAACACCGAAGCATTTGACTGATCAGAAATTCCAACTCTGGCTATTGTGGTGCGGCGCCGTGCGGGCAGATTACTTAATAATTTATTCTAACTTCGTTTATGATGACGGTATTGCTAGCATCATCATAGACAACTTTCGTTTATGAATCTTGTTCATGATTTTGAATATCATTTATTCAAACTTTGTTTAACATGATGATTGAAGCATCGTCATCATAAACACGTGCACAGTCTTTACATGTATGTACATTATTCTAACTTCGTTTATGATGACGGTATTGCTAGCATCATCATAGACAACTTTCGTTTATGAATCTTGTTCATGATTTTGAATATCATTTATTCAAACTTTGTTTAACATGATGATTGAAGCATCGTCATCATAAACACGTGCACAGTCTTTACATGTATGTACATTATTCTAACTTTGTTTATGATGACGATTGAAATATCGTCATTATAAGCAAGAGTTTATTCTTTGTTTATGATAAACATGGAAATACCTTCATCATAAGGAAAAGACCTCAACTACCATTGCCTCTATATATACACAACCCTTCTTTCATTCCTCTTCGTCACAAGACTTCTAAATCTTTAAATTTTCTTTTCTTTTTCCATTTCAACATGGTTTCTCTTCAACTCCCCATGGTTTTAGCTGTATTCTTTCTTCAATTGCGTTCGGGTAAACATAAATTCTTTTTGAATCATGTGTTCCAGTAATTTAGTTATTGCCAAGGTCTAAATCCTGGATTAAATTGTTTTTACATTGTACAGGTGTTTATTCATCAACGTTTACAATCAGAAACAAGTGCGACTATCCAGTTTGGCCTGGGATTCTCTCTGTTGCCGGAACACCAGAACTGTCCACCACAGGTTTTCTTCTCCAGCCAGGGGAATCCTCATCCCTCTCTGTTCCAACATCCTGGTCAGGCCGTTTAGGGGGACGCACTCTCTGCACCCAAGATTCCTTCGGTAAATTCTCTTGTCTAACGGGCGATTGCGGCTCTTCCACAATGGAATGTGCCGGTGGTGGCGCTGCTCCTCCTGCCACTCTGGCCAAATTCACATTAAACTGTGCAGGAGGGCTTGATTTTTACGAGTTCAGTCTTGTGAACAGATATAATCTGCCAATGATGGTGGCTCCACAGGGCGGAACGGGAGGGAACTGCTCGTCCACTGGATGCGCCATCGACTTGAACAAGGATTGTCCGGTGGAGCTTAAGATTATTGACGGAAGCAATGAAGGGGTGGCGTGCAAGAGCGCTGGCGATGCGTTCGGAGACGCCCAGTACTGCTGCAGGGGGGCGCATGCATCACCGGACACCTGCAAGCCCAATACTTACTCGGAATTCTTCAAGAACGCCTGCCCTCAAGTTTATAGCTATGCATATGACGATGTCACCAGCACATCCACCTGTGCCGGCGCAGATTTCATCGTTACTTTCTGTCCCGGTCTTTCCACCAGGTAATTAAATTTTTACCCAATTGGCCAATTCAATCCCCTTCCCATGTTCTTATCTTTAACACATCAATTCCACATAAGAAACGTTTTTCTAAAAAAATTAAATTACGTCGGTCCCTGAAGTTCATACTGAGAAATGCGATTTCGAAAAATACTCTGTTTTTGTATATACATATACAGAACATTAAATTCTGACTTTCTTTTGGATGTTTTTAGATTGAATTTGATACCAAATGCAGCGAAGCCTGTTCTGAAAGATACAGCTGCTAAAACAAGACCCTGCAGTATTGCACCTACAACTGCTACTGGTCATGTTGTTCATGCCCTTCCTCGTAACCCCAGGAGGCTGCTGGCTAAACCGTCAGATGTTAATTTCCATGCTCCCCCTTCAACCTCAAATGAGAAGAGCTGGAATTTGGATAAGTTAGACCCGCCGAGCCCTCCCGCGCCAACTGGCAATCGACCCATTCATCATTAAGGTCTAGTGCACCTGTTTGAATGAATGAAGTTTGCGTAGTATGATAAAAAATATATATATGTATTAGTTCAGTGAATAGAATGTCAGTATGGAAGTTCCTTCAAGGGGACCAGATGGGAGTCGGCTTTCTCCATTTTTAGTTTCCTTTGATTAGGTTTTATCTTTAGTTCTGATGTATTGTTATTGAATTTCTCTTTGTATGTGGTTTATTAAGAACATTTAAATATATATTTTTTAAAAGAAACATTTAAATAATTTTAACTAAAGGGATTCGAAAATTTTTCACAAGAAGGGGCTATTAATAGGCTAGAAAATTTATTATAATGTATTTAAATGATTTTATAGAGATTATAATATTTTAAATGTCAAAGACAAGAAAACAAAAAAGGCTGTATTCAACTTGGGCTAACCGTTAGCCGAGTCTTGAGTCTAAAGCAGCCCGCACATGTTTGGGCTTAGGCACTTATTATTCCTAAACTAGGGTGTCCAAAGTCCGAACCCGAACCCGCCTGCTGTCTTATGCAGCTGGAAGTCATCTCTTTCCTTCCATTCGATCTCTCGTTTCCACACGATCTGCAATCTTTCAAAAACTAGCTATCGTCTGCCAATTTGAAACCCTAATGCAGCACCAACTGCAACACCAGACCCCGGCAGCGGTTTCAACCCCTCCCTCGACCACGGGGGAGGTGCCACCAAAGCAGGTGGCGCTGGCGATGGAAAGGCTGAGCCATGCCGCTCGGCTCATCGCCGACATCCGCCTCGGAGCTGATCGCCCCCTCGAAGCCCTATTTGTCGCCGCAGAGCCTCATAAAAGATCTAGGCCCCTTGATTTGTCCAGTAAAGAAGATTCCTCCCTGCGCCAACACCTCCAAGACCTTCCATTGGTAGGCATACTCCTATTATGCTATGTGTGCTTTAAAACAATAGAAAATTTTAGTTTATTTTAGCTAGGCTTCGGAGGAGGTTGATAGATTCTGAACAATTTATTTAGGAAAGCAGCTGGACGAATCTAGGGTGCTAAATGAATCCCAAAAGTCAAGAAGTAATTCTTGGGGGTTGCACATGCCGCTGGTGTGTCCTGATGGTGCAGTGGTTGCTTATGCATGAAAGAGGCAGTTTGCAGCTCAGGCTGCTGCATCTGCTGTTGACAGGGCCAGGCTCATAGCTATTAGCATACACGGATAGTATTTATAGATGTTAATTCTTATGTATGTGCTATAGGAAATTGCTTTAGAAATTTGCCTGATGATATTTTTGGGTTGCAAGTTTAGATGCAAAAGGATAGCTTCCAGTTATGTTTTTTTCTGGGAGTATGATATTGAATTAGTGGGTATAAGGCGCGTCATTCAATATTTTTTTCATTAACAGCTGAGAGCATATAAAGTTTCTTTGGAGCTTTGAGTTAGAGATTGAAATGGGTGTGTTAATTGATTAAACATGAATATTAATTGAAAATTTAAGCCGTATTTACTACTAAATAGAACTGCACAAAGATGCAGTTGAAGGAGGTCCAAGTTGTTTTAGAAGGTTTTTAACTTTAAATGATTTGAAAATCTTATAGGCTTCTGGAACCACTTGTTTCATGGTCTTCCTTGGCTTACATTAGCCTAATGTGGAACCAATGAGCAGAAAAGATCAAAAGAATTGGTACCAAGTGGTACTATCAGTCTTGTGCTACTTAGTCACTTGTGTAGGATTTGTGTTGAGTGGATAAAAATGATTTCTAGAATGCTTACTGTGTATTGTTCGAGACTCATGGCTATACTAGTCTTTTGGAATAGGATCAAATACATGCAGAACTTTTCCTTTTTCATTTTTTCAAAACTTAATTAAATGATAATGTTTCTTTCTATATCATGTGTTCTTACTGGCTAGGCAGAGGGATTATGTAAGTCTGAACTTTGGAAAATTGGAAGCCTTCTTTAAGGCATAAATTTGTTCTTATATATAAATGCTGTAGGCTTACGCTCAAGGCCTTCACAGATCAGAAGAGGCAGTTTTTTCCTCACCTTGATGATGGAATTACTGAACCAGCATCAAAGAAGCAATGTGGTGCCCAAGCACTTGGAGAAAGTAACCAAGATGAGCCTAATAACTACAAATCACTTTCAGATGTTCTAACATGTTTGGAGAAAGAAGTGCCAAATTTAAAAATTTTCTAACATGTAGACATACATACATACATCCTTTATATTGGCTTGTTAATAACATTAATAGAATCAGCTTACCTTACAGAACTTATGAAAAATCTATCCTTCCCCAAGCAAAATAACCATCATCAACCTCCAGGAACTGGAAATACAACATATCCTGAAAAACCCCATCAACATCAACTACATTATACAGCTAAAGCCTGCAAATTTGACTTCAAAATCACAAAATGCAAACCTTATTTCTCTTGAATAACAGGATCAGAATTTGACACTAAAATAACACGACCCCCTTCACCATTAGGCACATGAATATCCCCTTCATTGCCCATACCTATAGAATTTAACCAGTGATTTAAGAAAGAAACATTATAATCAACAAAATAAACTCCTTTAGCTTCTAGTGATTACCTTGAATTGAATTCTCTGGGTGTAATTCTTGTGAAATGTGCTATGGTTTTCTCATCACTTCCGTCCCTGGCAGCATGCTTGTGCCCACAGGTGGAACATGTGTGGAGAAGAAAATCAGATTGGCCTAGCTCCAAATGGAATTGTGCATAGCTTCTCCTCTTATTGAGAACTTTTCCAGGGAGAGGAGATTCTGCTCTTACAATGCATGCAATTCATTACAAGTTAAAATAAAAATAATAAGAAAAAAGTCTTTCTTTTAAATATTTAAAATCTTTAATAATTAAATCTAAAATAAAGTTTTCTATCATCTTCCTTTTGATGTAGAGAATCAAATTGTTAGTGATAAATTCATCATCCATTTCTTTTTTGAAGTTTTGTATCGACCGACTTCATTGGTGATAACGCCCTTTTATAGTTGTTGTGGAAATTAGAAGAGTCAGGACTAGACGAATTATCTATTAAATAAACTTTAAAATTTGAAACTTCAAAATTATTTTTTTAATCAATAATTCATTATCAATAGAAGTTCCAACAACTTTCTTTTTGTAAAATAGATCTCAATATTCAAAACTCTAATAGTAATATTAACTTGTAAATAATATGCGAAAATTTTAAAAATTAAATGACAAATAAAAATAATAGTTTATGTCGAGCTTCAAATTTTAAGTTGATTAACTAAAATTGCACCATAAATTATTAGACATCGTCCCCAATTACAACTTACAAGTCACTCGACTCACCTCCCACGGACCTCCCGTAAAGCCCGTATTAAAAATATTGTAGATAAACAAAACCTAAATTATGATTTAATTTACATGATACATGATCGAATGGTGATGATTAAATTAATAAATATATAGTCAAACAAGAATAATATTAAATTAATAATAATTTTAAAAAGTAAAAATTTTAATTATTTAATAACTTAATAAGATAAAAAAAGTACACAATATAAAATTAAGAAATTTATATTTTGCCAATCAAACTGTACATTAAAACTACAGTTTGACTCATAAAAATATTAAAGTATTTTTAATAAAATAATATAAAAAATAATTTAATAAAAAATATTTTACTAAATTTATAAGTTATATTGAATTTTTAATATATAATTTAACATGTAAAACACTTTTTCGTAAAATTAAAGAAAAAAAAATAAAAACAAACTTCTAATTGACAGTGGAAGCAGCAATTTTGGCAGGGATCAGGCGAAAATTTAGGGGACTAGACCTTAGAAACTTGCATTGCCGGAAGTATACAGTCAGTATAAATACAGATATCATTTCAGGCTATTTATAGTAGAAATTTAATCAGCTTTTAAATATAGATATTAATATTTAATAAAATTAATTTTAAAATTTTAAATTAAATTAAATAATATTATTTTAAATAAAGACTCTAATTTTTTGAGAAGTAAAAACTTATATACACTCTTTTTATATTTTTTAATTTTTAATGTGATTAATTTCACAACTATATTAAGTTATTAAAATTATTTGTACCCAAATGACATTGTAAAAATTCCAAACCTTTATTCATACCACTTCTTAACAAAACAATAATATTTTCCAAAGATGCTAAAAGTTTCCTGGATTTGAAGCCCCGAAATGCCCATGTTTAGGCACCTAGCATTGTAGATTGCTTGATAAAAGGGTGCGCCTCCAAATCTCATGAGTTCGATTTCAAACCCCTCCCCTCAATCAAAAATTCTATTTGTTCAAAAAAAAAAAAAAAAAAAGAAGCCCATTTTTAGAGATGTAATGAAAGAACAGTAAATGAGCTTATGGGCTACTGCCGTTATACTAACGACCAAAAGAATGGGTATATTAAATGGGCTCAAACATTGAGTTACTCTATTTGGTATTTACCTAGAAGATGGGAATTGGGCTTTTTCGAAATGGATCTATTGAGTTTCGGCCCACAAATACATGTGGAAGGCAGGAAGCCGAAGGTCGTTTTAAGCTTCTAGTCCATTTCCGGTTTTAGAATGATGCTCATTGTTGCCGCATGTGGGCAGTTTCTTCAACGTTCAAACCTCGATGAAGCAGTGGGTGACGGAAGGTGGGGTGGCGAACGAAGCGATGATCACTCTTTACCATGTTTTAGGACAAGAAGGATGAAAGTGGCGATACAATTATTGATGAAATAGGAAAGTGTAGGTCAAAATTATTTCCCTTTCGATATTGTAGTTTCACCCTTAAATTCCCCGTCTTTAGGTGCCATTTCATCAATTGTATCTTAGTTTGATTTTTTAATTCTAGATAAAAAAAAATTAATTATAAAATGTACGGTTGGTATAAATTGCAAAACTACTAAAACGGTATTTCATTTACTGAATTTACTTAGCTTGGTTGATGGACGATGCCATTTCGGGGTCGTGTTCAAGTGCGAGCTTGGATAACGTTGAAAACGCATCCGATGAAAACCTCAGAGCTTAAGTGAAATGTAACACGCCACCACGTCCAGAATTAATTCGGCCTCACATGGTCCCATCCTGTTTGGTTTGCAACTGGTCCGGAGATCGTTGTCAAGGAAGCCGCACCGTTGTTAGCCGGCTTATGGCCTATGATACTAAGATTGACTGAATTTATTTTAAGATTTATTTAATTAATGTTTAAAGACATATATTAAAAGTATAATTAATATATTTTTTAATATTAAATAATATAAAAAATAATATAAATTCATATTAATTTTATTATTATTATTATTATTTTAATTAAATAAATAATTAATTAAATATTAAAATTTATTTTTAATAATAATTACTATTAAAATAATATTTTAATATACCTTCTTAAAATACAAATTAAAAAAATCTTTTATTCTAATCTCTGGTTCATTGTCTTTTGCGCCAGATGTCAAGTCATAGCTTTGCCTTTTCGTTTTTGAAGTTTTTCCAATACACTGTCCTTTGCGACTGATCCAACGGGGTGTTATTAACGGGTTAGACGATACCTTTTCCACGCGTCAGTGTTCCCATGGAGTCTCTATTGTTTCCTGTAACCATCAAGTGATCAAGAAGTCGATAGCTTTGAATTGAAGCCAATGTGTTATTTTTAATTGGAGTTGACAGCTTTGAATTGGAGTCGATAGCTTAAAATTGGAGTCGACAGCTTTGAATTGGAGTCGACAGCTTTGAATTGGAGTCGATAACTTTCAATTGGAGTCGACAGCTTTGAATCTTTGAATTGGAGTCGACAGCTTTGAATTGGAGTCGATAGCTTAAAATTGGAGTCGACAGCTTTGAATTGGAGTCGACAGCTTTGAATTGGAGTCGATGGCTTTGAATTGGAGTCGACGGCTTTGAATTGGAGTCGACAGCTTTGAATTGGAGTCGATGGCTTTGAATTGGAGTCGACGGCTTTGAATTGGAGTCGACAGCTTTGAATTGGAGACAATGATTTATTTTTATTTTTAACTGGAGTCGATAGCTTTGAATTGGAGGCAATGATTTATTTTTAATTTGTAGTATTTGAGTTTAATTGGTTAAAAGATTATTTTTTTTAATTATTTAAAAAATTTTCTCATTCTTTATAATTCTCATGTTAAACAAAAAAAAGAGTCGAGAGCTCTTAAAGTAATTTTAATGAGTTTGATGATTTATTATTGATTTTAAGAGATTAGATTCAAATAATTGAGACTTTTTTTCTTTTAGTGCAACAAGTAACTGAGATTTTTACTTTCACTATTACACCGTTTGAAAAAATTCTCTCTCTCTCTCTCTCTCTTTTTTTTTTTCAATATAAACAATCAAAAGAGAGATTCATCTTTCATTTTATTCATCTTTCATTTTATTACGAAATCTCATTTTCATAAATTTTATGGTAGAAAATATTTTTTTTTGTTATTACTAAAAAAACTGAAAAAATAAGCATTAAAATAATTAACTTGTAAATGAGACTATAAACATCTTATTTTCTTGTCTCCACAAGCTATTTATATAATTTAAAAATACGATAATATCCTATCTATTTACCTTACGACTTTCTACAAGCAAACAATTTTTTTTTTTTACAAACTAATTACACTTTATACAAGTTTATCTTTTTTTATACTAATTTATGTTCCTATTGCTTTTTTCTGTATGACTATATCCAAGGTTTTTTCTTTTATTGAATTCATGTATGTTTCCTTTGTGGATATGTACTTTCTTTCTTTTTTCAAT